GAACCGAAAAATTCAAGAAATTAAATAGAGAGGCTTATCTCCATCTCAAGCTGCGCAAACTCGAACCTGCGAAGCATTCATCCTCGTTGTGTCTGGCGCCGCCGTCGTTAATCGTTGGTAAAATCTCACTTTTCGTAACACTCATCGAACCTATTGATCGTTTTTTTATGTTTCAGGTTTAAAGGAGATCGAAGCCATGGAAAGATGATGGGTCAACGAGGGAGACAATCGAGAGAGGAAGAGAGAAGACCGAGAGATTTGGGGAGGGCGACGAGAACTTTGGGGATTAGGGTTTACAGTTTTTTCTTTCTTTGTTTTTTTGCTTTTTGTTTATGTCTATGATCATGTATATGTACACCCACATACACTTACAGTATCACCTCACACGATCACTGTATACCTTCACCAAACCATCATCATGCGGACACAATGCACACGCCCACGGTACACCTCCACTGCCTCACCACACGGGATCATTCGCAACCCTTAATTAGCCACCCTAATCACCCTAATCAACGTTTAATCTGCCACTTATTTAATTAATTCTGATTTATTTAATTATAACTATTAATTAATCCCTTTTTTTAAAATAACTAATAACCCTTTTAATTAATTAATCAGTTTTCTTATCTTTTTTATTTTAATTATGTAGTTAATTCACCTTATTTAATAAGTTATTTATTTCACCATTTATTTATTTCAATTTAGTCAACCTTTATAACTCTTTTATCTTATTAACTAAAAACCTTTTTTAAAAAATCCTATTAATTCACATTTTAACTTCTTTTTCTAATTTAAATAAAATTAACCTTTTTTTCTCTAATCAACTTAATAACATTTTAACTAAATAATATGTTTATTCACCAAAAAAAACCTTTTATAAATAATTTACACCTAATTGCCAATTTATCTAATTAATATTAAAACCTATTTAATATTTTAGAAACAAATAATAAAAACAGCCTTTTTAGTTATAATGCAAATTAACTTTTCATAATAATCATAACTTTTATTTAAAAATAAATAAATCATTTCATTTAAGTTAATCTTTTAAGATAGAGAATAAATTAAAATCATTTAGTATATTAATCTCGCTTAAAATTAATTCAACCTCGCCTAAAAACAATCAACATCGCATTGTAATTTAATCGCGCACGCTTACGCCTCACATATTCACGATTCACATTCACTCTCACACACTTCAGCGCTTTCATGCGTTTGTGTATGGTTTATCTTCCTTGCAATTTATTCTTCAACAATTTGTGTTATTGCATTTATATTCACGCATCGCATTCCGCCCAAAGGAAAAACCTACACATTATTCAACAATCGTGTGTAGTGCACATCATTTGTATCATGCTCCCACTTGATCCTTGATCCCATTCAAGTTGATCTTTCTAAGTTAGATCCTACCCCATAGGAAGGACCGTTATCTTTTACAACTTAGAACAAACATTCAATAAACTCAATACAACAACATTAAAACATTAGAGAATAAGATGTTAATCCTCTTAAGCGAGATAGAATCTCCACCCCACATCAACACAATCAATATCGTAGGAACTTTTCCTTAAGAGAGATAGGAGGCGTACCTCGTCGATCCCTATCCGAGTACTTGAGCCCTTCTCTTAAGATGATGCAAAGACTACATTCCTACAACTTGTGGCGGTTAAATCTCTCTTAAAATGACAACTCACCTCTTCTCCTAAAATCAATCAATCAACTACCCTAAACCCGTAGGAACTTTGACCACAGTCAAAGAACTCCTCTAACCCTTTAGAGGAACTACAAAACACTCTGATTCCACTCCCGTAAGGATATGTAGGCATAAGATGCGACATCTTATCGAGTATACTTAGATAATAAACCCCTAGGTCTTTAACCATTAAGCAGATAAACCTTAGCAATAAACAAATATAAAACAAGAGGTTCCTGTAGAGTACTACAGAAACTTAGGATGCTAGTACCTTCCCTAAGTTTAACCGACCCCCGAACCTAAAACTCTCTAGCTTGCATTTGCATTGCATTAAGGGAATTTTGATATTTATCCCTTCCTTTGAACAAATCAAAGTTCGGTTGCAAATGAATTAGATTCAAGTTAATCAATAGTTTGACATCCAAATTTCACCGCGACAGCATGGTCCTGCTATGGTCGACCGTTCGCGCGTTCACACAGTTTTGAAGCCTTCCCACTTATTTTGAAAAGTTGTTATGACAGTTGGTTTTGGATTATTATATAGACTTTTTATGTTCATTTCAAGACAACAATTGAGAATTTGAGTCAATTGTAACCAAACAAGAAAAGTGAAATAGGTGCCATCAAAAGTCATCAATCTTCATCTTCCACAACTCACAACACAACAAATACACACAATAATTTTTGGAGTGATTGTGATCTTGTTCAAGGTGATAAGGTCCGAAGCCATTGATAGGAAATCTGATTCGGGGTGTTTTTGAAGGCAGGTTTTTTTTTAATAAAACCTTAAAGGTTTTGCCCTCCAAGATTTCAGCGAATTTGGGGGTTTTTCGGTACGGATCATCTGTATCTCTTCAGCTGAGCGAAGGTAATTGAGAAGAGGAAGTCTTCATCAATTTAGTAGCGGATTCAGTGAAGCATTCAAGAGGGTTCCGGGTTCGATTGGTTTGTGTCTGAGATCAGTCGGGCCAAGGGTTTGAAGAACTGAAAGTTGTTCAACAAAGGGGCTGGAATCGGAGGTCTATTCACATTAATCAGAGGACTTGATTCGACTCGAATCAAGGGACAAGAAGCGAGAGCAACATCAACATCAAGAAGGCTTGTTGTATAATTTTGCTTATCAATTCTTGTGTACAAACTGTCAAACATTACAGGTGATATCTATAATATAAATCTCAATTCTATTTTTAGAATTAAGGGCAGATGTACCCCGAAGCGAGGACGACGGGGGAACTGCCTCAACAAATCTTTGTCTCCTTTATTTTTCAGCATTTTCATTTTGGCTCAAAAATAAGTGATTTCGTTATATAAGTTGTTCTATCATAACTTGTGTTGATTTGAGTAAGTAATTACTATTGTTTTCAAACCTATTATGCAACAACATTGCACAAGGAATTTAAGGTTACCTACTCAAGTCAAAAACTAACTTGGAGTGCCTAGCACACCAAGTGTTTGATAAATTGTTTACACCAAAGTTTACTTAGAATTTGTGCGCTTTTGGTGGGTTGTGTGAAACATTGGTACTAGTCTTACTAGAGTGTAGAATCATTTGATAGTGTGACTAGTGTGTTGAATCTATTATTTTCATTATCATATCCGTCGGCTAGACGCATATCCGATCTTCCAATAACGGTTCGTTTTAGACATATTTTTCCAAGGCCGCTTCCGCATTTTGAAAAACCTTTTTAAACCAATTTTTAATTGGTAAGCTCCTACTCAATTTTTAATTGGGATCTATTCAACCCCCCTTCTAGATCCGCGCCATCGTCTAACATAACTCACATTAAAAAAATGATTAGAATTTAAATATTATTTTATCTTATTTAATCGAAACAATAACTAGTAAGTCACTATTTTAATTGTAAAAATAAACATGATTGCTAACAACTATTTTCAAAAAACATAGTTATTATTTGAGTTTAAGTATTTTTAAATATCAATATCTTATTGATCATTTATAAATAATTTATAATAGTATTTGTCAGAAAAACGACATACATTTTTAAATGTAAATATAAACTAGTTTTACAAGTCCAATACAACTTAAATATTTTGGTTATCTTTAAATTACAATTACAAAGTGATCTTAAGTAGTTAATCATTTTAACCAAATATTTTTATTGTTATTTTTATTTTATTATTAATCAATAATACCTTCATGTAAGACTCTTTGTTTAAGTAGGCAACCAATAAATGTTTATAATGACCTTTCAATCCAACAACAAATATACTCCAATTTGGATATTACCATAATACCATTCACCAAAGATGCCACGTCTTGGACATTAGCACACTAAGGAAAAAATGTCAGTTTTTCCTCTTTTCTTCTAATTATTTATTATATATTGAGTCGATAAATCCTATATTCAATCCAAATTGCTTGGCTTCAATAATTTTTGTATTGTTTGGGACAAACCAAACTAATCTAGTTAGGCTCCAAATCACTGGAGTAATACATTATTTCAAACACAAGAGCCTATATAAAAAATATATTTTTGTAAATATAGTCTTGAGACACTTGTATATGTTGAATCTATAAGTTTTACAACTTAGTTCAAAACTACTGAATTTTTAAAGTATTAAAAATATTATTTAATCAAAGTAATTTAAAAAATTCAAAACTATTTCATGTATAATGTTAGACAATTATTTCAAAGTACTGACATTTTTATACTTCAATATTTTTATGAATTATTGCGGTGATATAAATATTGTGACGAAATTGAAACAAGAGATCAGAGTGGCACAGCAGAAGCGTGGTGGGCCCATGGCACAGCAGAAGCGTGGTGGACCCATAACCCATAGGTCTCTGGGTTGAAACGGATAGTGTCTCGTTTTTCTATTTTTCTTCTGTTAACATGCTTTTTCTATTTTTCTTCTGTTAACATGCTTTATGAAGAACCTTGCTTTTCCTGCAACAAAAAAATACTTGTTTCACTTATACTATATACTAACTTTTCTTGGAGTAGCTAATATATCATTCGAATGCTTACGTTGTATTACCTAATTTAATGGTACTAGCAAAATTTACCAGAGCTCTTTTTATTATTCACCAGTAAAATTCAAAAATAAAACTGAATAACAATTACAATCTAACATGATACACTGGTACTAGCCAGAAATCAGAATTCTAAATTACCAGGCAAGAATTTTATTCAATAGAAGAAAAGATAATTGTAATGGTTTAATTTATGTTTTATAGAGAGGACACTAGAGTCTAGAGCTTCTGCATAATACATAACAACAAACGTTCTAACTCCTGCAAATTAACAGAATCACAAAAATTATCATTAAATCAAACTCGCTAAGCTACTTTACATATGTCCTCATACTCCACGGCTTTAAGCACCCTACCATCATAGGCACCTTTCTCTATCTGCACCTTAGCGCAAAATTGATCTGTATCCACCCCGAGCAGCCTAGCAAGGGATCCGCGATAAGCCCCATTTACTATTTTTACACGTCCCCCAACCTGTGGTATTACAGTTTCAAGCTCTTCCTGATCAACTTTGAGCACATGCTTGCTTTCTAGCATTTCAATTTCCCCTACATACTTGTCAATCACTTTCCTCACAACACCTTTTTGCTTGTAGTACCCTTTCTCTGCTAAGACTTTGTTCATAACCTTCACAAAAATTCCCTCATGCAACCAATAATCCTTCCTGTTGATTTTTTCCTTTTTCCTTTCTTCCTCGCGGATCATTTCATCCAAATTTGATTTTCCACCACCACTTTCTTTCCTCTTCAAATTGTTTACAGGATTCTTTTCCTCATATTTCTCTTCATCAACCTCATCAAACGCCATCCTCAATGCCTCGCCTTTATCCTTGGCTATAGGTTTAGCAGACGACCCAAGAGAAAATCCTATCTTAATTCCATCTTCTGCATTTAGTTCCCTTGTAGTCTCTACCTGTGAAGGCTGATCGGACTCTGGATTAGATAGCTGCATCAATTGCTCAGCCCTTTCAATTTGTTTTTGGATCTCTTTCTCTTGTTTTTCTTCATCTACCAAATCTGCCTTGATTCGCTTATTCTTCATCTTCTCCTTAAACAGGGTTTATGAATCTCTATCTATGTATGTAATGAACCATCCCTTGGGTGTTTCTTCAACCTTACATTTTCCAGTTCGACCCAAGTACTTAACAAATTCAGTAAGTGTAGCCCACTCAGTGGAGTTCATATGAACATGGTTTCTATCATTTATATATTCATTATACACTACAGTCGCTGCCACACGGCTAAATCGATGGTTACGCTCCATGTGCTCAAGAAAAGTAGTCTCAAATTCTTCGGTATAGCCCTCAATTATGCGAGTTGGGTTTTGTCCAAAAATTTGCATTTGACGCTGGTGCCCTTCGCTCATGCAATGGCATTTGAAACCATTCTCGTCACGACACTACTTCTGGCACATATGGCAATACCACCGAAGCTTCTGCAGTCCTTTTGCTTTAATTTGATTGGCAATTGCCTTAGGTGTGAGAAAGTCATTTTTCCCCATTGACAATCTGGATGGACCGTTTCAGATCAAACAAAATAATATCAGTAATCCTGCCAGGAGATTATGCCTGTTTCTGAAAAACACAAACAAAAAAGACAATATCATCGATAAATACGGATTTGTAAGAACTAAAACTCATAATGTATTAGAACATGAAGGAATCTTGTATTCCTATGAAATTATATTATTCGCCAAACACAAAGATATGCATAAAACTCCCTGTAATAATATTCCCATGATTATAGTTTTAATCCTTGGCAAACATATTCTTATTTGAGCACGTGAATGCTATTTAAAATTAAAACATGATTTATGATTCTCTCTCCAATGATTAAGTAAAAGATGAGTCTAGGAATGCTCTAACAGAAACCTTAAATTATATTACCAAGAGTAAGGATAACCCCTTGATTACAACACCATAAATTTCAGAGGCCTGACAACCTCCTAAGATGAAAGACACAATTTCTCTCAAAAATACATGGCGCCCTTTCCCTCCTCTATTTAACTATTTATTTTTTACATGTTTTATGATATCCAAATTCCAAACCTCTCTAACTACTTGAGTATACTAACTACTGAGAATATGGAGTGTAAATCAAGCCTGTATTTGAATCGAAACTGGGATAAGGATGCAAGTTCCTCCCTTTGGAATCAGGTAGATTCATATCTAAAAAGGTTGAGAACATGATCTTTAAAAATTGACTACTTCTCCACCTGTTAGAGGTATCTCAATCCTATAGATTTCCCCAGATAATTATGACCGTAAATACTGCATATTTTATTACATTCATAAACCTATTTTCTTCGCTATGAATTATAACAAGACAACTATCAGAAGAAAAAGTGTAGTGCCAAAATCCCCAAGCCTCGTAAATAGACACGACCTATAATCTATTGAAGAGGAGACGAATCACAATTGAAAACCCTAATCCTAATTGATGGCTTTCTCGTAGTAAACTATCTACAACTAAACAATCCAACACATGAACAAATCAAGAAAATATTATATTGCAAATCAAATTACTTAGCAACTCACCATCAATTACTACAACTTATTGAGAAGGTATCCGGATTCCATGTTAATTAGTCCTCCGATTTTTCAGAAGCATAATAAATTAATAATGTATTTTGATGCAATAGTACTTTGAATTTTGAAGCAAGCATATTATGTAAAAGATATTATGTAATTATAACAAGCACGCCATGATCAACACACATTCAGTTCCTTGTGCATGTGAATGAATGTTAATTAAAACTTGAGATACGATTCTCACTCTAACAACTGTAACAAGGGCTGATTTAACTCTTACTTGATCAAGTAGAAAAATGAGTGTACACTTTTCGGATAGGAATCTGAAATCCTATTAACAAGAATAAGGAAAATCCTCTTGATTACAACATTGAAAAAACGCAAATTTCCTCTCAAAAGAGCAATATGCCCTTTCCTCGAAACATGTTCTACAGCTAAGTTGAAGTTTGTGATAGTAAATGCCTAGGAAGAAGAAGTACTAAAGTAGGCAGAATTGCAATTCTATTTATTCAAGATGACGATAACACTTCATCCGGTCCATTAGTAATTCAAGCCAGTTTCGAGAGCATGAAATTTTGAGGGTTTTGTGGTTGCAACAAGGTTCGGAGATGACAACTCAGTTGGATTCAAATTTGAACATCAGTGCAGCGGCATATCCCGACGAGTTCTATAACATTTGGCACAACCCGAGCCCTCAGTCGCGACTCCGCAAGACGATAGGATTACAAGTGACGCACCAGAATGATAAGCCAGCCGTGACATCAAACTAATTTGTGTTGATTTTTTCTGTTTGTAGGTTTTTCAGTTCATCATACATTGGGTCCAAAGGAAATCATGACTCACACCTTCAGACATGGTTGTGATTGTCGGCATCTCATTTAGTTCTTAGCCTCAGCTTCAGTTGTGAATAATTTCTGTGCAGGCTGCGATACCGCCGAAAGAAAATCCTGAACGAGAGGGAAGATGAGGAACGTTGTCAGCGGCAACAGTAACGTTAACAGCAGCAGTTCATCAACAACAACTTGAAGCAAGAACCGTAGCTCTCAACATCAGCGGTGCATTACTCAGCTTCGGTATCATTCAACGCATCCAGCTTGACGAAGTCGTAACGTGGGGGTTATTTTTTCCAATAGCAATAATCAACAACAACTTGAAGCAAGAACCGTAGCTCTCAACATCAGTGGTGCATTGCTCAACTTCGGTATCATTCAACGCATCCAGCTTGACGAAGTCGTAACGTGGGGGTTATTTTTTCCAATAGCAACAATCAACAACACACGTTGGCTTTCACGGTTTTTGAAGTATTCAAGAGTTGAGTCGAATATGCCGTTACAACCGTGAAGACCTCTTCAACAACAACTTTGCGATAACTGTGGCGAGCTGGTTTCGGTTTATGGAGACAAAGATGAGCGAGAACGGGCTATGTATGTATACGCTTAATTTTTTTCTTCGTTTTCATTTTTGTATGGTTGTGCTATTCTGTTTGGGTGTGTTTTCATTTACGTGCAGGTTAAGGATTGATTAGCGGTCTTGGTATCGATTCAATGTCGGCACAATATTCCCGGACTCCGTCCTCTGCAACATGTTGTCATCTAGTCATCTGTGTATCCCTTCTGCAATAACAATGAAATGAAACAACAGCAATCCAACATTTCGACGTTGTCCGTACTCGCAATGCGTGACAACCACGACGACAGCAGTTGGAACTCGCGCGAGGTGAGGAGGTTTTGACGCTATTGGTTTATTTTTTTACTTTGGTTCATTGACAACGAAAGCCTAACAGTCCCGTCTCCAAGACTGCACAAAAGCTTCGTCGCTACTTTCGGTATAGACTGTTCTCGCCGCAGCTCAATTCCCCGTAGCAGCTCATCTGCAATGCATGATTTTGTTTCTGTTTCGGTTTTGGTAATACTTCGAAGTGGCGGTTTTCTTGCCTTCTATTTCTATTTCTTTTGTGGTTTACATTTTGTAACACCTGTTATTGTTTCTGTTTTAAATATTTGGTTTTAAACATTATCAAGTTTTTTCTTTTGGGTAAAATCCGTTGGATTTGCTTTGATGAGCAAGTGATTTAATTTGTCACGTGTATTTAATGTGCGTGTATTTAATTTGTTGTAAAAAAAATATGGTTGTAAAGGTTCCAGGATCAAAAACTATTTTTTCTTTTACTTTAAAAACATGAAAGTTCTGATTCATTGCTGCCACGGTTAAATGGTACAAAATGATAATTCGTTTCATCAAGTTTAGCAGCTACTAGTGGCTTTGGTGCCATTCTTTATGATACCTCATTGCTGCTAACTTTTTTTTCTGTGAAATATCCAGGTTGATAGAGATTTCTATTGGACTAATAAATTAGTCTTTGACTGATGTAGATATAAAAGATAAGGATTCAATTCATTAGTGTTTTCTTTACAGGTGGCAAATAGAAGAATAGAGTTTAGTTCTTATATAAGTATCAAGAGAGTTTAGTCATTATATTTTTTATATGTAAAGTTGTTTCTCTTTTGATAGATATGTATATTTCAGTTTTGTTTAGATTGAGTTCTCAACTCAATATTAAATGTACCCCTCTCCCACAAGTGTAATAGTTGCTATCGCTTTTTCCTTAATTTTTCTTGAATGCTTCAAAACAATTTTCAAAATAATAAACTCTCGATTCATCGACATTTTCACTCGTGTAAGTCGAGTGTTTTCAAAGCCTCGCCATCAACCTTTGATCACCATACACAACATTTCAAAGCTTAATCCTGGGCTTCCTTACAGTGACACCTATTTGATCAATTGTTTCTAATTGGTCACTTAGAAGACTAGCCCACTTTGCTAGTGCACACGCTTAAAATTCAAATTCAAACCTCGACTTGCCTCGAGTACTTTTTCTCAAAGCAAAGTAAATTCTTGAAGTCTAGCACTTCTTGGATTTTTGGACGATCATTATTGAGGTGTACACCTTAAATAATATATTGTTCGACTTTTCGTTCTAGTACGCTCATTTTGGACAAAGAAATATCATAGGAATCTAGCACTCCATGTGATATTTCCGTTGTTCATCCAAACTTTTTTCGAATGAAAAAGGTGTTGTTAGGATCTAGCATCCAAATGATACCCCGATTAATTGATTGTGAGGCCTACGTCTCATTTATCAAATAATCGTCATTTCTCCTATACTTTTCAAATCCAATCTCGTATTATCACTCCTTACAACTGTTCCATCTTCATACCCTCATTTCAATCCGAACCTTTTTCAAACATCGTTTCGATTCAAACTCCGAAAGAAGGAGATTCTTGGAATCTAGCATTCCTTGAATCTTCGAGTGAATAATTCTCGAGGCAAGCTCTTGAGTTGTTATTCACTCAATCTTTCGACTCTTTCAAACATTTTCAAACATTCCCCTAAGTCGAGTGCTTGTACGCATTCGCAACCATCGATATTTTACACCCACTTCACAATTCCTCGTGGTTTCGATATTAGGGGCACCCTTAGGGACTAATATTGTTTTTCACAATCTAACCC